AATCCTCTCTGCAGCCACTCACACAGACCTGCTGAATGCCTGGAAAACTACCTTGATTCAGACGTTTGCCAGTTTGTATATTCAGCTCCTTTACTTCCTTTTACTTTAGGGCCATGACATTAATTCAGTTACTATCCCAGCTCTGGTATGCTCATAAAAAATTCACACCTGTTTCATAGATGTTCACCTGTTCAACAGACTGAGTTTCAAAGGAAAGGAACTTTTTGCCTATTAACAAGAGTATAACTTGCTTTTTCACAGGAATTCCTACTGTGACACTTGCTGTTTACAGACTGTCAAATAAAAACACTGCCCAGTGAATCTAAAGGGGGAAAAGAAGGGGAGGGAGGGAAAAAAAAAAAAAAAGAGAGAGACAAAAGAATTATTTGGATTAAAATATCTTTTCTTAACCTTATGGAAGAGGAGCTGTTCTGACTTAGCAGCACAGCACAATGAAAATGAAATCAATGCCAAGTGTCTTATCCTGAACTCTGAATGGGCAAAGTTCCCACTGACTTTCAAGATTCCTTCCCCTGCAAATGGCACTCAAGAACAGTTACATGCACCTAAGGCACGTCCACCACTATGTTCTGTCTCTCCCCTTTGTGTCAAGTAGATGTATAGAATTTTTGAAATCAGCACAGCAAGCTGTGAATGATGCATGAAATGAATAAGCTGAGTCTAGTACAAAGGGGAAATCCTGAAGGCTTGGTGCAATCACTGCTATACTATTTCCTATGGCCTGCATAGAAAAGATGCATAATATTCTTCACAGAGACAAAGCAAAAAAAAAAAAAAAGCTCCCTGAGGCCAGAAGTCTCAATCAGAAACCCTAGAAGAGATAAATGACAGAGGGCTGGCAAGTTTTTAAAATTGCTTAATTTCCCTCTCATCCCTGAGCCCTTCCTGCTCCGGCTCTGGTGCTGTGCACGTGGAGCACGCACGGAGCAGTTCTGAGCACTGCCCTGCCTGCCGAGGTTTGGGTTCAGCCTGGCCCAGGCAGGGGGGTGTGATTCACACCTCACCCCATCGGCAGAGGTGAGTTTGTGCCAATCCACCAGCACGGGACGGCCAAAGCACGGGAAGGAGGGCAGGGATTCCCAGATGGGCCGAGCGAAGCGCTCTGGGATGGACACGTGTGAGACCCCAGATCTGCTTCCTGGGGATGGGAGTCAGAGACTTCACTCACATCAGCACAAGCACTTTTAAACCAGGCCAAGATTGATCTTTATTAGTTTTGGTGTGTTACTGAATAAAATTAACCTGGCATAAATGTTATAACTGAACTTAGTGACAACAGTAAAGATGAGCATCCTGAGTGAAACATTGTGGTACACACTATTTTTTTTTTTAAGGTATAAATACAGCTCTTTATGGATCTGCTACGAACCACACCCCCACCCCACACCCTTCAATTCTCTCACTATCTCCTCTGCTGCCCTGAGTAGGTATAGATATTTTAGACACGGGGAAACTGAGGTATAAAGTGGATAAAGGCCTTCAGAGGACGTCTTTGAAAGAAGCAAATCTAAAATCCTATTTACTAGACTAGTAACACAAAGCAACTGGCTGTGAGTGGTAGTCACAGCAAAGAATAATTAATTCCTCATCCGAGGACGTTTTTGGTGAAATAAAGCCACTGTGTTGTAATTATTGCTGTGTCCAGTGGCATCAGTGAAAAGTTGTGATGAAGAAGCACGTGGAAACTATCCTGGAAAACTTAATCTACATTAACCACTAAATTACCCCATGCAAACAGATCTGCAGTGACAGTTCTCCACACTACCCCTGGGAAATCTTAAAGGAAATTGATTCAAAGTTCGTCTCTTTATCATTTCAATGTTTTGTTGGAATTTACTGCTAAAATTTACCACAGAAATCATCTGAAGCAACAGCATTTAACATTTAACAGTGATTTAACTGGGCACAACTACAACAAACCTAGGATCAAGGTCTGTGTAAGTAGAAAGGAAGTCATAATCAAGCTTCTCACTGTTGCAGGCACAGAGAACAGCAGCAACATTCCAGCCCTGAACATCACCTAACTTCAGCTCTTCAGCTGTACTCATTCCGAAGAAATCACTCTTTCTATTAACACTGGAAGATAAGTTTGATAAGTTCCTACTTTCCAGTGTTCCTGAAAAGTATCTTTCTTAGTCTCATATTTGACGTGGGAAAGCACTGATTTATAAACGAAGTGTTTATGCTAATGGTTTTCCCGAATTTAGTCTTCCAACTCTTCTTATAGCAAAAAAATGTTAGAAATTCAGAAACATGTGGTTTAAAAAAATATTCTTAAAATACCCACAATCAGATTCCTCTGAAACTTATTAGACTTTACTCCCCAACCAGACTGCCTCAAAAATTTAAAATATTTTCACTTGCCAATTTTAGTTGCAATAAATTAACTCTGCAGCTCTTTGACATAGGAAGGAACAGTGAAAATGTGACTCCATGGGCTGTTTTTTGGACAAACTAACAGTAGCACCGAGTGTGATCTTCAACTCTTCCATTCTGTTAAAACAGAAGCCTAACTATGGTCATTACACTTAAATGCTGACATTATTAACCTCTTCACAGCCAATGCTCTGTCGTTCTAAGGATAATGGATGCACTTGTGTCCGTTCTAGATGTTATGGAATAAGGCTGCAGGTTTTTTAACTGTGCAAACCGTTGCTAATGATTTTCCACACACAACAAACCAGCACTTCGTTTACAGCCCGGTTTTACCAAGTGCTGGGGATTTCTGGAGCAAAAGAATCCTGTGCAGACCCATCTTCCACACAGCCAGCCTGTCTCCTACACAACTGTTGGCAACTTCACCTGGTCTCCCTGTGAGTGTTAAGGGCTCCATTCTGATCCCTCCCACACAAGCAGGAGTAGGAAATCCCACATGGGCATTGCTCAAAAGGCGTTTGGATTTAACGCAGGCAGGAGGGATGTCCAGGGCCAGATAACCTGAAAATTTAAAAACTGAGCTCAGTTTTTAAATTAATTCCCTTCATTAATTCTAAAGGGAACCTATTGCTGCGTTTGGTCATGAGGGAAATTTCCTGAGTCCAAGCAAAGGATGCAAAAGTGCTCTTTAAAAAGAAAAAAAAAAAAAGTTGTCTTTCAAGCAGTGTCTCCCTCCATGCTGTTGGCTCTCTGATGAAAATACACTCATGTTCAGGGAGAAGAGGTTGTATCTGTACTTGTATTTAAAGTACAAGGCTGGATTCTGTTCTTTTTGCCCTCCAATGGGTCTGTCCCTGCTCCAGTGTGTGTGTCTGTTTACAACCCTTTCCAAAAGTTCTGACCACAACTTGTGAACTTCAGGGTAAAGTTTAGCCCCAGAAATGTGAAAACTGCACTAAGGATTTTACCTGGACATCTCAAAACCAGTAGCTCAGGAAATGCAGCCACAAGCTCAAACCACCGACAGGAGATTCCAGAGAGAACAAGGTAGTTTATATATAGGAACAGTCCCTCAGGGACTGGCTCACACACTGTCCCCTCAGGCCCTGACTTAAGGCAAACAAGGATAATTGAACTTACAAATACTGCAAACTTTTGAAGAACAGTGTTTCTCCCCTTTCATGGTGGAGAATGCACTCAGCTCACACGTAAAGAACATTTACTTATAATGATGCAGCTGCAGTTCAACTCTGAAGGTATCAGTCACAGTTCCAGTGCTGGCACCTTCTCACCTGTTCAGGAGCCCTCAATTTTGTCGGACCTGCCCTGCACATCTGTCTGGGAAGGCTGAGGGAAACTCGTTTCAGGGAACAGGATCTTCACACTTCCCTGCTCAGAGCTCCCCTGGCAATGCCAGTTCTGGAGAGCACCAGGGAACAGTTCGACTCCCAGATGAGATGGAATAGGACCTGCTGCTGCCCTGCCTGCCTGTGTCCATTACCACACCATTCTGAAACCTCCAGGTTATGGGGCTGCTTCTCCTCACAGAGCTGTATAAGTCACATCACTCACTACTAACAGAGCTCCAGTAACAATCCTGCTCCTACCTGAAGGGCAGCAGCGCAAGGAGGAGAAAGCAGCGCCGCAGGTTTGCCGGATTTCACCAGAAATGTTGTGGAAGGAGTTGAGCTGGGGGTGTGGAACACGCTGGGTTCTCCTTTGCAAAGTGATTCCCCCCAGCCCGTGGTGAGGGGAACGCGTGGGGCCAGGGCCTTACCCCACGGCCCCGGGGCTGCTCTGTGCGGGGGCAGCGTGAGCGGCCCGGGGTCTCCCCCCGGTTTGGGACCAGCAGCATCTGCTCCCGGCACTCCCCCTTCCCCGGGGGGCCAGGAGCCAGGTACCCCACCAGGGAAGGAGACTCTCGGTGTGGTTTGCAAAACGCTCTCGCCTCTTGTAAGAGTCAGAAGAAAGCCCCGGCCGAGCCGGGTGCGTCCCGGAGGAGAAGGCAGGAGCCGGTGCCGGAGCATCCCCGCAGCAGGTCCGGGAGGCAGCGCGGGGCCCCGGCCGGGAGGGAAGCAGCGGGGAAGGGAACGCTGATCCCACTGCCCCCGGCACGTCTCGGGCAGCCGAGGGGCTCAAAGTCCCCCCGATACCGCTGTTCGTACGGGACGGCAGAGCAGGCCCCTGTAACCAAACCCATCACTACCAGCGCCCTCCCGTTCCTTTTCCTCTTGTACCGAGGAAAGAGCGGAGGGTCAGCTGGAGCAACCGGGGATGCGCTGCGGAATCCCGGCCGCTCTGGATTCTGAGAGGTCCCCAGGCTTGGCGAGCTCAGACCCGGTCCGGGGGCCTCCCGAGGAGCTGAGGACACGAGTGGGGCCCGGCCGGAACGCGGCTTGGCCCCCAGAGCAGAGGGAGCGCGAAGGGATGCTCAGCTCCGCCGGCCGCCCCGGGGCCCCGCGGGGGCTGCTCCGCAGCGCCCACGGAAACACAGCATGGAAAACGCGGATCCCTTGGAAAAAAAAGGGGGGCGGGGGAAGAAAAGTTGTCCAGACTAAAGGCACTCCTCAAACATATTGAAAAGATTCAATTATTTATTTCCTGTGGGGATTCCTGTAACCATTCATTTTTAATGGAGTCTAATTAAGAGTTCCCCAACGGGTTTTACTTTTGTAAATATTTCAGATGAGCTCGGGTTTCCAGGCAAATCCTCCACACGCACAAAAAAAAACATAACAAAAAACAAAACCCAACAAAACATACACAAGAAAACTCACCAAACAAACCAAAACAATTTAAAAAAAAAAAAAAACAAAAACGAAGCGGAGACGTAATCCCTTTCTCTCCCTGTCGGCCTAGAGAAACCAGCCGGGCGGAGAGGCAACAAGTGGCCGCGCCTCGCAGAGCGGCATCTCGGGCAGTCCCATTTTCCTTCAGAAGAACACAAACTCGAAGGATCGCACTCTGCCCTCTCCCACCCTCCAAAATATAAAGGACGGCTCGGCGGCCGCAGGAACTCAGCCGAAAAGCGACGGCAGCTCCTGGAGCGGGCGCTGGGACCGCGGCTGGTGCGGGGAGCCTCGGGGGGAGCTCCGGGAAGGAGCCCCGCACTGCCCCGCTCCGCGCTCCCGCAGCCGCGGGGGGACCGCCCGCACAAACCGCGCGGAGACCGCCGACGTGCCTGATATAAAATTTATTGATCTCTCTTCGTTTGGAAGAAGGAAGCAAAACGAGGACTAGGAACAGGGAAGGGGATTTCGATGACTTATTTTCTTGGAAGGAATCCGGTAACAAAACTAAAACGTTTCTTCATCCGATATGTCAAAACATGGTTCACAGTAAAATTCACAAACCGATTTACATAAGTTTACAGTTTAAGAAAAACCAAGACACACAACTTACTATAAATAAAAGAAATGCGTTTGCGACCCGCACAGCTCTGCTCTCTCCCACCTCCCCTCTTTTTTTTCTTTTTTTTTTTTTTTTTTAGGAATAAAACCCCAAATTTAAAAAGTCATGAAAGCTACAAATTGTGGATAGAAACCAAGAGAGGGTCGGTGACAAAACACTTAATAAAACCACAACGATTATGTGAATAACCGAGTTTAAAAACAAAAGCCCGCGGTTTTTGTTTTTTTATGTCATTGCAACACTAGAAATCAAACTGGAAGATGCAAGAACTTTTAAAAACTTTCAAGCGAATAAAACAGTGCGCAACCTAGCCGAAACCAGGAATGAAGATGCCGTGGTTTGAAAACTTCACAGCGGCTTTTAGGAGGCAGGAGTTGTGCTCTATCAAAATAACAGCTTGCTCAAATATTCTTTCCTGTACCAAAAAAAAAAAAAAAAAAAAAAAAAAGACACAACTAACGGATTTCCTTTTAAAATTTCTCCAAAGTTAGTATTAAGTCTGCTAAGCCGAGCAACACTGCCGTACGTCCCGGTGTAGTCAGGGAGCGGTGGTGGGGTTAGGGATTAAGACGGGGAGCCGTCCGGAGCAGTCAAGTTTATATGTGAGTTAGTGGTACGGTACCATTCACGCCAGTCCCGGCACTCTGGTAGTGCTGGTGGACGCTGTGTAACCTGCTGCCCTGCAGGGCGGAAGGGTCTGTGGCATCCCCCCCGGGGGGCAGGTACATGCTGATCATATCCCGCAGGTCTCCCAGGCAGGCCCTCTGCGAGTGGGAAGTGATGGCCGGAGGCGGCGAGCTGGGCTCGGATTTCACCACGGAGCCCATGGAGCCCAGGCTCATGGCCGAGGAGGGCTGCTGGCCGTAGGCGGCGGGGGACATGCTGTAGGTGGAGGCGGCGTTCATGTAGGTCTGGGCCGTGGACATCATGGGGCTGTACTGCAGGCCCGTCATGTCGTAGCGGTGCATCTGCTGCAGCTGCGGGCTGTTCATGCCCGGGTGCTGGCTGTAGCCCAGCTGGTCTTGCATCAGTGAGTAAGCTCCGTTGGTCCAGCCGTTCATGTGGGCATAAGTGTCAATCCTCTGCCCCACCCCGACGGGGCTGCTCACCGCGTTGCCCCCCCCCGGGGCCAGCAGGTTGCCGGGCAGCGAGTACTTGTCCTTCTTCAGCAAGGTCTTGGTCTTCCTCCGGGGCCGGTATTTGTAATCCGGATACTCCTTCATGTGCACGGCCCGCAGCCGCTTGGCCTCGTCGATGAAGGGCCGCTTCTCGGCGTCGCTCAGCAGCTTCCAGTCGGCCCCGAGCCGCTTGCTGATCTCCGAGTTGTGCATCTTGGGGTTCTCCTGGGCCATCTTCCGCCGCTGCCCGCGGGACCACACCATGAAGGCGTTCATGGGGCGCTTCACCCGGTCCTGGTCCGAGCCCGCTCCCGCTCCGTTGCCGCCTCCGCCGCCTTTGCCGTTGCTTCCCGGAGCGGGGTTGCCCCCGGTGCTGCCCGGCGTGGGCTGTGGTGCCTTGATCTCGGTCTCCAGCATGCTGTACATGGCCGGGGCCGGCAAAAGGTGCGCCAGGGCGGCGGGCAGGCGGGCACCGAGCGGGGAGAGGAAGTTAGGAAAAAAACCAAACAAAACAAAACGAACCAAACAGAAAGAAAAAACCTGCCTGGGCGGCTGCTGCGGGAGGAGCAGGAAGTTTTTCTGCCTGGCAGAGGCGCCGCTCCCCGAGGTGCCGGTGGTGTCGCGGCGGCAGCGCGGAGCGGCTCCCGCGGGCAGCGCCGGGCGATGCGCTCACGGATCCCGGGGGTCCGTGATTGACGGGCTATAAATGAGGGGGCGGCGGCCAATCAGAGAGCGGTTCCCGACAGCCCCACGCCGGGAACTGACCGGCCAGGAGGGGGGTGGGGGGATCCCGGGCTCGGGGATGCCGGGGATGCGGGAGCCGGGCCCCTCCCGCCGCGGCCCCCGGGCCCTGCACCTGCCCCCGGCTCTGAGCGACGGGACGGGGCAGAGGGGCCGGTGGGGCTCCCGCAGCTGCGGGCAGTGCCGCGGGGGAAGGAGCGGGACCGGGGCTGCCCCGCGGGAGGAGGAGCGGGGCGGAGCGCTGCGCTCAAGCGGGAGCCGCGCGTTCGCCGGGCACAAAGAGGTTCGGGGCTCCCGGCGGATGCACAGCCCTGTGCCGAGCCCAGGGAAGCTGCCTGGAGACGGAGCGAGCCCGCGCTGCACGGACGTCTCCCCCCGGAGCGAGGTGAAGGGGCGGGGGACGGACGAGCTAAACTCTTCCACTTCTGAGCCCTCGCCTGAGATAGAAGCCACGTTGCCCTGCCGGGACCGGGCACGGCCGCCGAGCACTCCTCCCCGGTGGGAGAGGGGCAGCCCCGAGAGGAGGCGGTGCGGGGCAAGGGGCCGGGCTCTCCCGGCCATCCCCACCTACACCCACCCCTTTGCCACTGGAGCTTTTCCACTCGACTGCCCTAAAGAAGGGGGAGGGAAGTGGGTGGAGGGGACGGCGCTTGCAAATCCCCCAAGTTTCATGGCAACAGAAAGTTCCCTCCGTGTGAAAGAAAACTTTGGCGGCGGATATGCGAGTGGAGCGGCGCCCACTGGAGCTGTCAATCACGGGCTTCCCTGTCCGTCCCTCCCCTCCATTTACCCCTCCCTCCCTTCCTTGCCCAGAGGCAGGGACAGGCGCACCTGCACGGACGGAGCCGGCGGCTCCTTGAGAGCGCAGAGGATGCCGGCCGCCTCGCCCCGCCGCGGGGGGACGGGGGAAAGAGGGGCGCGCTGCCCCGTCCTACCACAGCCTCCACTCCAGCTCCGTCGGGGGAAGCCGGGCGGTTCTCCAGGCCGCGCTAGGGGAGGCAAAGCGAGCCACAGTCTGCTGGGAGCGCCCTGGTGCCGGGGGAAGTGGGGCAGCACCGCCCGTGTAGCTCTGAGCAAACTGCCCCGGGGGCGTGTGGGGCGCAGGGAAGGGTCTGTGGTCTTGAGGTCGGGACGTGTCTGAGCATCACGTCCCGTCCTGGGCGACCCGGATTGGAGAGATGCTGCCCGGACTGGAGGGATGCTGCCGGAGCGGCTTCCCGGGCTTGGCAGGCATTGGTGTCGCCCCAAAGAGAAGATCGCGATAGCGGGGGGACTCGGAGATCGGGACCGGGGGGAAGGACACCTCCAGGGCAGGGCTGCCGGCTGAACCCGGAGGCACAGCCGAAGCTGGTGCCGCCAGCCCTGAGCCCGGGGGGCGCCGGGGAGGGGGCTCCGGGCCGGGGCGGTTCGGCAAGGGAACCGATCTCCGAGTTCTGCATCTTGGGGGGCTGCTCCCCTCGGGCCGGGGAACCTGACGAGCATCGGAGGTACTCTGGAAACACCACCGTGTCGTGGAGGGGGGTTTGCTTGAGCGGACCTAAGCACTTCTTGGGACTTTGCGGTTGAAGGTCTCACTCGTTGTGCACGGATTTCTTTTTTGACAAAATCACCCCACTTGCGACCGGCTATGGTGTAATCAGCGTTTTGTCTTTCTTGTTTGGTTTGCTGCTGGTGTATTCTCGAGTGAAGTAAGCCAAAATTTGGCAAACCGAGGGGACAGGGTGACAGCGAAAGGGTTGTTCCAGGCGGGAGTAGTTCTCTTGTAACTTTTGCAACATACTGGAAAAGCTTCAGGCGATTGTAACTAACCTCAAACCCCTCCAAATATTTTGACCGCTTCATTCGAGGTTTAAGACCTGCCAGGCTGGGCAGGAAAGAGGACTGATGTATATCCTGACAGCTATTTATTACTTTATATGAACCTTCGTTGGAGGGACTAAACAGACTGGTTTGCAACAAAAAATGTGGCTGTAACAGGGAATTAGAGGACCTGCTGAAAGCCTCCTGAATGCTGTTTCCTTCGATGTTTAAATAAATATTAAACGTTAAGTTTCAGATTCCTACTTTGTGTTTCGTGTTTGCTCTGCCTGAATCTCAAACTATAGATTTTTTCCCCAAAGAGCAAGCTATTTAAGGCTTTCGACATCCATATTTCAAAGCAAGACAACATTTCTCTTGAAACATTACTAATCACCTTGCAGATGAACTGAACTTGACTGAATAAAAATGTAAGTATATAACTGGTGGACTTCCACACTTCACAGGTCCCTGTAATGCTCCCGCTGCAGTTGGCTTCCCCCGCCGCACATGTTCTGAGGAATACTCCATAATCTGTCTGATTTCTAATCCCAGAAGAAGGGATGAGCAGGAACCCGCTGCTCGAACCCCTCGGTGTTAGCGATGCGTGCGCGGAGGAAACTCTCGGTGGGATTTCTTGAGCGATTTCGGACCCGAGAGTAGAGTCAGAAGCCAGCTTCTCTCCGGGCTTTACTTCGGAGCCGTGTTATCCCCTCCCGGGCACGGCGCTGGCCGGGGCTGTCGCCTCTCGCAGGTCCCCACCAGCGGCACAGACGGGGCGGCTCCGTCCCCGCTCTGCACGGCGGCACCTGCGGCCGCTGTCGCCCTGGGGGACGAGGGGCTCCTTCTCCTTGCCCTTAAAACCCCAGCTCGCCAGCGAGGCGAGCCCTGCTGTGCCAACCTCTGAGCTGGCACAGAGTTACCTGCAAAGTGCTTTAGAAGATTCCACCCTCCCCTTGGCAGCGAACTCCAGCCTCCACCTGCTCCCCGGGCAAGGGGACGGAGCCTGCCGAACTGTCGGGACGTAAGGAAGGGGCAGAAGGCAGGACAGGATTCAGCGCAATAAGCGGGGCGAGGGGAAACCTGATGCCTGGAGCCATTTTCCTAAATTCCCTACCCAGCGGATGCCAGTGTGTGCCTGGTGGGGGTTGGAGAACACTAGAGGTTGTGTAAATGCAGTTGTCAAAGGCTGAGAAGCCCTTTTCTTGTTATTATTTATTTATTTGGGTTAGCAGAGAGGGTGAGGAAAGATGAGGAGTTTACAGCACAATCCAGCTTGAACGCGAGAGAAACCCCACGCTCGAAAAGGGCCATTTGGAAGGGTCCTTCTGCTTTTTACTCAGTCAGCGCTTAAAAAGCAGCAGCCATTAACAGATGTTAATTGCAGCTCCAGAAGAGCTTTGGGAAGTTTTGGTACAGCGTCAGGGAGGATCACTGGCTTTTAATGAATAACGCTATGCACGAAATCGGCCCCGTTTAACCCTGTTATTAAAACATCCTCCTGGTCCCCAGCCTAATTCCCGACCAAGATCAGCGAGGACTTGTCCTCGAAACTTGTCCAGACAAGGGAACTGGGCGCCCCTTTCGTTTGGACCCTGCTGACCCTCGCTAGGATGATCCTCCGAAAATGCCCAGCCTTCTATCGATGCTCAAGTTAAAAGTTCGCGTGATCCAGACTTGAATCTGTGTCCTCTCCCAGAATTTTCCAGCCTGGTAATGTGGCTGCTAAATGGATCATTTCAGGCTGGTTCTACAGCCGAGATCGTTAGGATATATATTTCTTTTTTTTAATTACCCGTTTAACTGTCACGTCAAAAAAACCCCAGCCCAGCTCTAGATTTCCTGCGAGGCTCCTGCCTCCCTCTCTGCGGGGCTGACGTGGCTGGACCGACCTCCCAGCCCGGCAAGAGGGAGAACAAATCATTAGTTCCGACAAACGAGCTCCAACTCCTTTCTCTGACTTCTCCAGTACCTCACCTCTTGGATATCGCAGCTGCACTAGCGCCTGCAGTTGTCCCTGCTGCTCACGGGTCCGGGAAAGCAGGAGTTACTTGTGATGACATCATTAAAAATCGCAACATTTAAGAACAAAAATCTTAAGTGCGTGGGTAAACCCGGCCAACGTCTTTTGGGTACAGACCGATCCCTTTGAACTGAGCCTCCCAGTGCGTTCAGGAGGCAGCGGTGAATGTTGTTTTTAATCACTTCTCCCCCCTCCCCTTCCCCAGCTGAACTTTTATTTGGCTTCTGACAACAATAGCGGGCTGCAAACAGACCTCTCGGAGCGCCCGCTGAATAGACCCTTTTCGAGCCCGGATTGTTTCCACCGGCACAAAAACCCGACCAGTAGCTCCGTTTCTTAATTGGGTTGTTCCTGGCCCTCGTTCATTCAGGTGTTCGCAAGGAATTTGTTTATTAGTCTTTGACAAACAGCTCCTCCTGGCAATCGCCTCACGGAGTTGGCTTCAGCGGGAGCGGAGGGATGCGGAGAGGGGGGGTGCGGTTTGCTAATAAGGACTCTCTCCATCTCCAAGTTACCAATTAAGAGTTGCAGAGGGGACCACCAGCACAGGACGACTCACCAGGGCTCGCTGAGGAGCCCCAAGGAAACGATAGATTTAGTTCGTGTGTTTTCAGGCAAAAACACCCAGTAAAAAATGAGTACGAAAAGTGATGCTAAAGAGACCACCACCGCTGCCCCCTGCACCGGCTGCTGCAGGGCAATCTGCAGGGCTGGCCCCGCGCTCGGTGGCACCGGGGTGGAACCAGCGCCCCGAGCCGCGGGGACGATGCGGGAGAGCCCCGAGTGCTGCGGGCACCGCCTGCGCTCCCCCCGCGCGTCCCGGGGGGCTCCGGGCGCTCCAGCCCCTTCCCCAGGGCCGGGAATCCGCCCGACCCCTCCCCGTACTTGTTGCTGAGCTTTAGCCGAGACGTCGCCGCTCTCCTTCTTAAATAAATAATTAAAAAACCCTCAATAAACAAACAAACAAAAAAAGCCAAACCAAAAACCCCACCAACTCAGAGCATCTCTGTTCTGCCCGTTCAAAACTTGGCGAATCTTTCCCCCAGTGTTTTCTACACAGATCCAGTAGCCCACCTTATTTACTGGTTATGATGACCAGGCT